CAACTGAGGCTAAATTCTCTAGGCTATTTTAGCATCTTCTGCCAAAGTGCGAGGTGTGGTCGAGGAGAACAAAAACCTATTCTTGGCATACTAGGGCCTATTTCTGTCCAGCATCTTGATTCTGTGACTCTATTTTTTTTTATTAATCTTTAAATTGATTTTACTTTATAGTTTTTCTTTTTGGCAATCGGTCTTGAACATCAGTTATACGTAAGCAGTTAATGGCCTTTGTGTTTATCCATGGCTTCATGCATGACTCATTGCCATTGGTTGCATCCAGAAAACATTCAGGTATGTAAGTGAAGTGAGAGACCCACACCAAGCATTTTACCAACAGGACCACACGTAACAACCAAGCATCTTACATGAGAAACACTTGGGAACCGCCTTTGCCATCACACACGTGGACATCTTCTTACAAAGATGGTTCTTGACTGAGAAGAAGAAATAGGTTGCAATTGGCTTATGTGTACATTTTTGAAACTGATCTTGTCATTCTCAACCACAGTGGAAAGAGACCTCTTTATGTGTCCTTGTCATATTTTTAACCATGAGATTTCCCCTAGGAACTTTCACACCCCACACCTGTGGATGGAGCACAGAAGCTAGCACATGGCAGGGCTCCAAAGCTAGTTACTGAATAAACAGGCAACATATGATCTAGCCACACCCAAAAGGGATGGATCACACCACCCTCTCTTTTAGGAATCTACTATTTGAGATCATCTTTTTCCTAACAGAGCACAAAGAGGTTCAGAGTCCACAGGGCATCCTGGTTGGTTCTCAGTGGGGCCAGGGTCCAGGTACATCCTGGCTGTCCACACCAGCACCAGTCACCTTTTTAATGCCAAGGAGCACAACAGAATAAAGACAATCATGTCAAAATGACAAGGAACAAAGGGAAAACGTCTCACTCCTTCAACTTACTAAGTTTAAATAGCCCAGCTATTTCAGCACCACTAAAGGCCTGAGCATTTTGAAGCCCATCTATCAGAAAGCCAATTTGAGTTGATTCTTTCTGCAGATGATTAGCCAAGGACCTCTTCTGCTCAGGGTTGGGAGAAATGGGCTGGAGAGCAGCAATCACCTGGAAATCCCAACACTGCTTCTCAGACACGGCACTGAGAGTCTGGATGACACAAAGCTGGAAACCCAGGGCTTTCTGCTTATATGGGGCTGTGACACTCTCCCTGGGTGAGTCCTCCCTCGATTCTCAGCTTGAGAACTTGGGTAAGAGGACACAGGGGAGTTCAGGCAGGCGTCAGGACTTCATATAACTGGGCAAAAATCCTGCCTTTGATTCTTGTTTTATCTCTCTGGTATGGTATTTCTCTTTGATATTCACCCTGAAAAATGATAAGATGTTCCTCCTTTCCTCATTCCTTGGAGCTGGGCAGAGATGAAAGTTACCTTCCTATCTACACTGACACGATTAATGCATCCACTCAGCTGGAGTCACTAAGATGTTAAACGACCTGGGGACTTTATAGGATCTCTGTGTTCCGTCTCCTAAGAATATGTAATTTTACTTCAACCTGAAATGTCTTTTTCCCGCTCTCTACCTGTCCTTTAGGGCTTGAGGTCACTCTCATCTGTCTGCAGGCCTGGGAGAGGTGCCCTGCCAGAATTTGGGGGCCCCACAGCACCCCTGATGAGTTGTCCCTACCTCATGCTTACACAGACTCAAGCTGTTCTTTACCTTTTTTGTGACCGACATGGTGATGGTTAACTTTCATTTCTGTGTACCTAGTGCTTAAGATGTTAGCTAGGAGAACAGACTTGTGGGTGACCCTTTGACAGTATCTCTGTATATGTGCATTAGGAGCTTCAGACCCTGATATTGGGTTTGTTTTTAGTTAAAACTACATTAGACAGTGATTCATTCATGTGCAAAAGGGTATTGCACACAGATCTTTCAATAAACAGAATCAATACTGATATGAGCTTAGGCTCCCAGACTCTAATGGTGAGAATTTAGAAAAAACCAGTTTGGGGGGCTTTTAATGAATGTACAACATTTAGCAACCACTCAAACTGTCAGAACATGTACAGGTGGGTGAGCTAACCTGTGCTTACCTTTCTCAGAAGAGTTGCTAAGACTTTTTGCCTCAGCAGCTAGAAAGAAGCACAATAATATGCTACAAAGGTGGGGACAATGACCCCAGGGGAGCTTCCCAGGTGATCTGTCCTTCCATGGGAGACCTGTTGCCATGGTTACAGAGACCTGACCTCATCAGGTGGGAGGCTGCACATTCCACACAGGGATGGGGTCCAGCATAGGGGACAGAGAAAGAGGAGAGCAAACGAAGAGGACATTTTTGTGGATGAATGATCTGACCAGGTCAAAACCAAAGGACAGAAAACAGATTAGAATTTAGGAATAGAGAGAACACTTTTGCCCCTTGTTATGATTTAGACATGAGGTGTCCCTCAAAAGCCCATGTGTGAGACAATGCAAGAATATTCAGAGATGAAATGGTTAGGTTATGAGAGTTGTAAACTAATCAGTGGGATTAATCCACTGGGGTGGTAACTGCAGGCAGGTAGGGTATGGCTGGAGGAAGTAGGTCACTAGGGGAATGCCTTTGTGATTTATATTTTGGCCCAAGTGAGCAGAGGCCTCTCTCTGCTTTGTGGCTATTATGACCCGAGTAGCTTCCCTTTGCTGTGCCCTTCTACCATGATATTCTACTTCATCTTGGGCAGAGCTATGGAGTTGGCTGGCCATAGACTGAACCTCTAGAACCATGAGTCCAAATAAACTTTTCCTCTTCTAACTTGCTCTTGCAGGTCTTTTGGTCACAGTAACGGAAAAACTGACTGAGACACTCCTAATCTGGGTTGTCTGATAAGTGAACTGCTATGTTGCATAGATATGCTGTGGAATCTTCCTTAGTGTTCTATTGAATTGCCTGGTGGGAGGGAGGGGTGGGCATGGCTTGTGCTGGATCTGCCTGCCATGGAATGGCATGATTTCAGTCAGTTCTGTTTTTTTAGAGCTCAGCACAATGTTTAATTCAAATAAAGGGTTCTAGTGCTTCTGTTCTGTTAAAAAATAAATAAACCCAAAGTAAACTAGTAATCCCTCACCAACTGCAGAGGTTTGGTTCCTCTATTACAGTTGTAATAGGAAATGTCAAAAGCCACGGGGGAAGCTGGTAACCAAGTTATGAAGAGAGAAAATGACGTCAAATATATCCAAATAAACAGCAGAAATCATCAAATTTCTAGAGCTGAGCTGTTCAAGAGAATCTACTGCAATTATGGGAATGTTCACTATCTGCATAAGAGACACTAGAACATGAGGAATGAAGCACTTGAAATGTGGCCAGTGGGACTGGAAGAGAATTTTTTGGTTTAATTTTATTATAATTTAAATTTTAATAGACCCAAGTGACCAGTGCCTCCTGCACTGAATGGCACAGCTCCAAAGGTCACTTCCCCCAAATCAATTTGTTCCAGCATCACCTTCTTCCTTTTCCTCTAGGAAACATGGGACAGGCATAGATTCTCACAAAAGCTTTGATGACTCGGTGCCTGTCCTTAAAAATCCTGAAATCAGTCTTTTGGGTCTGAAATTTCATTTTTAAATTTGTTTCCATTTGCTTTTACCTCTGTATCCTGCTTTCACAAGATCCTGCAAAATGTTCATACAATGGGTTGTCGTTTCCATGAGTATCTAGAAAGAGCATTTCTGTAGACCTGGTTTTCTATCCACATAAGGGATACATACATAAGGTCTCTCTTTTCCGCCTTGTCCCATGGGCTGTTCTGTGGGACACGGAGCTAAAACTGTGGTTTTGTTCTCTTGTTGAGTAGAACTGAACCAAAAGGCTTCTAGGCAAAGACAGTTGTAGAAATTAAAATACAAGTGTTTTAACTCAGTTCTAAAGTTCTCTTGGTGATGTTAGTGAGTGGACATTCAACTAAGGCTTTGAGAAGTTGTCTTCTAGATGGTTTGCCTGCCCTGTGCTCTCTTCCTCAGATGCTCCCTGGACATCATAAACAAGTGTCCTCTAGGGCAGATCAGAAAAACCACCTCCCGATTCTGGAAAAAGCAGCCTGTAGTTGCAAAAATGATAGTGTACATAAAAAGATTAAGAAATCTCATCAGCCAGGCACGGTAATGCACGCCTATAATCCCAGCAGCTCAGGAGGCTGAGGCAGAAGGATCGCAAGTTCAAAGCCAGCCTCAGCAAAAGCAAGGCACTTAACAACTCAGTGAGACCCTGTTTCTAAATAAAATACAAAATAGGGCTGGGATGTGGTTCAGTGGTCAAGTGCCCCTGAGTTCAATCCCTGATACCCTAAAAATGTCTCATCAACTGAGTGCTGCTGTGCTTCCCTGTGGATGCTGCTGGGGGAACATCTAGGATTAGGAACCAAGAGGTTTGGTTGCTTTGGGGTCATAGTTGGCAGAGACATCTGAGACTCTCTGTATCATATGGCTCATGTACATTTTAAACATTCATTTAAATGCTATCATATTTTTACAAACAGAAAATTCAGGAACAGAGAAAAGTTCTTCCATCAATAGGTAAAAATGATATGGGCCAGTGTTGTGGCTCAGTGGTAGAGCTCTTGCCTAGCATGCTTGAGGCACTGGGTTCGATCCCCTGCACCAAATAAAAATAAACAAATAAGATCAAGGTGTTGTGTAAAAAAAAAACAAGAATATTGTGACAAAGTGTCTTTGCCCCTTCACTGTGTGTACATCTGAAGATTGATTCATGGACCTTGGGGCTGTACCACTGAGTGCTAGAAGCTGTGCCCTTCCATGGGCAAATGACTCACTCTTAGAAGCTTAAAAAGACAGAATTTTTGCAAAAATATTGCCTTTCAGAAACCAAACAGAAGTGTCTATTCCTCTGTAAGTTATCATTACAAATAGATATGAAATGTGGGTCATTTTGAAACCTTTAGTTTTGAGCAAATAAGACAAAATACACATCATGTGTTGGTTGTCCTGTACCCATGGCAGCCCTCAGCCTGGCACTTACCTGTCCCCCGAGAGTGGCTGAAGTCACCCTTTACCACGCGACAGGTCTTGCCATCCCCATTGCAGACACCACACCTGTCCTCTTTGGCTGCAGACCCGATGATGCCATCACAACCGATTTTCTAGAGAACCAGAGGGCCAGGTTATTTTGCAGTTAAGACTCAGAGGGGTTTTAAAGTAGATGCTCTGTGAGGCTGAGTTCTAAATGAGGCCCAGCAAGCATACTGCCTGAGGTCCCCAATACTTTCAGAGACCTCAAAAAATATTTTAACTCCTTTTAAATTCAGAAGAGAAAATAATGAATAGAATCCAGCCTGGATTATATTTATCTCTATACCCAAGTGCTAGTTATAGTTATCAAATACATTTTTTGGTATGTGTTATGGAGGAGATGGGATGGGAAGGCAAAATGCCCATGGAGTCACATTAAGTCCTAAAGCACCAGTCCCAAGTGCTGCATGAGGCAGAGACTCTGGGAGACAGTAGGGCTGGAGCCCACATATCACTAGGTGTGGCCACAATTTTACAAGGTATGTTCCTTTGCGGTGGCAGGGGTCACCTGTATCTTGACTGGAGTAGCCAACACACTGCAGGAATCATGCAGATGTTGCTGCAGAGTTAGGGAGGCCCAGAGCTCACTCAGGTAGGGCGGGGTATGGGTCGCCCTTTATCAGTAGCAGTTAGGGAGATCTAGTTTGCAAAATGCCTCCATGTCCCAACCCTTCTCAAATTATTTCTGAGAACAGAGGCAGGGTGACCTCTACCTTTGGTGGGCCTGGGAAGCACAGCCCAAGTTTCATCACAGGTAGAAAATGGCTTTCAATGCTATATTTTCTTTAAACACATAAGCACACATGGGAATTTTGCATTATGCAAAATGACCTACATTTATTTAGATTAACATGGGTGTTTATTCACTAAATTGCTTAAATATTCCTCTTTACTTTTTTTTCTGTTAAAGTGAATACTTTCAGAACAAAAACATCTGCACTCAGCTTAGGGTTTGGTGCTTTAGACCATAAAGGAAACCAGGGTTGGAGATAATGCAGGTGGAGGCGATTTAGCTCTTTCCAGAGATGCCTGAAAGGGAACAGGCATTTGCTCCCCTCCTCACACACCGCTCCCATATGCAGGACAGGGCTTGGAGCAGAGCTGGCTGTACAGCATCTCCCTGGGGGCCAAGGAACCTGACCCACTGCTTCCAGAGGAACCAGAATCTTCTGCTTCTTCATGGTAGCGGTTCTCCGATTTAAGTGTGCATCAAAATCATCCGAAGGGCAGTTAAAACTCAGACTGCTACATCCCATCCCTAGAGCTTCCGGGAGAGCCTGAGACTTTGCAATTGGTACAAGTTCTCAGGTGCCACTGACAATGCTGGTCTTGGACCACCCTACAATCCTACTAGGGTTTGCTATTCAAAGGGTCAGATAAATGGTCTTCATATTTAATAGTTCTTGGGTACGTGAATTTCTTGGGGAAAGAATTGTGACTATTGTATGTCTAAAAATAATAGGATAACTGGATGTGTTTTAGTAGAGAATTTAAGATATGCTGATAGCTGAGCAAATTTAATCCAAAATGACTATTAAAAAAACTGAATTTTGAAAAAAAAAAAACAGATCAAAATCATTCATGGTACAAAAACAGATAAAGGAGGCGTTAGTGGCCTGAGGCCAGGTAGGGAGCAAATGCAGAAGACTAGATTTCATGGCAGCTGGGGAGAGTTAGGGGACACACGAAGACACAGATGCAAGCTGGCTATCAACAGCAACACCCAGGGGCAGTGACCTGGAGGAAGCTGGCTGTGATAGGACTCCTGGCCTGGAGTGCATTGCAGGGGCTGCCTGGATTCTTATTTGCCTGCCAGCTGGTTGCTGAGAAGTTGTTCAGTATAAAACTACAGAGGTTAAGAACACAGATCAGCCAAGATAAAATAATTTTTTGCTCAGAGCAGAACGTTCAGCAAATGCCCCGGGGACCACGTGTGTTCTGCTTTGTGTGGTACTTCAGAGCCCCACTGTCAGTCTCCAGTCTGCCTGTGGTACAGCCACAGGGCCAACAGCACAAGAACTGGCCCGTCACCCTGGCCTCTTTGTGTCCCCTAGACATGCTCCCTCTTAGCTTCCCCATCTCTCTCAGGTGCTCACAGCTCTAGATCTTTCCTATTCTGCCTTCCTGTTATGTCTAACCACATCCCTGCTGTCACAGCGAGTCTCTGACCTCACACCAGACTTCTTGTCCTGCATCATATAGGACTTCTTGATTAAACACTTTCAAGATGGTCAAAGTAAATAATCCCACAGGTCCAGACAGCTTCTCCCAGCACCAGCGAAGAGGGCTTTTCAGATCAGGTTCAAACAAAAATGCGTACCAGGTTGCCCCTTAAGTTAATTCTGCAGGTTACTTGGAGGCTGGTACAGATCTATGCGCTTCTTGGTGTTCCCTGAGCACCTTTTGCACCTAAAGAAAGAGTATACGGGGATGTCCCTGTCCGAACAGTAGCAAATTTGAGGTCTGAAGGGGAACAAACAAACTACTCTATTCTGCCCATGGGGCATTTTATCCACTTGCTATAGTCTGTGAAAGGGACGTATACTATTTTGGGCAGGCATCGAGATTTTTTTTTTTTTAATTGAAGCTACATAAAACACAAAATAAGTCATTAGGGGGTTTTAATGATTGCATTTATGAGCTTTGGTGTTCCAAGAGAAAAAGGTGATCAAACCCAAGGAAACTCCAAGTGATAAACTCTCTAAAATCTTCCCATGTTACCCTGGGGATCCTTAGTTACTTTTCTACATTTGCAAGAGAGGAATTTCCATTACCCACTTCTGAGCTTTCAAGTTCCTGGCCAGCATTTGCTAGTCAGGGCCCTGTTCTGCTGACTAAATCAGGGTGCGTGTGATACCAAGGGGTCTGAGGGGACAACAGTGTCCCATGGCATAATTAATAAAGGAGAGAGGATGGAATAGAGCTGGTGAGGAAGGCACAGGTCTTTTTGATCAAGACAGTTCCAGTGAAGCATGCAAAATACAGTTAGAAAAACTCTAGTTCTTAGCCCTGTGTGCTGGAGAAGGCCACAGTATGGGTCATGGGCAGTGTGGTCATTTTTCCCAGAATTGAGAAGTATCAGTCATCAGGGATGTGAGTCCTGGACCCACCCCCAGAATTGTTCCCCTACTGAAGATCACCAGTGAAAAACAACTTTCTATGATCATATCTAGCAGCTGAATGTGTAAAACCCATACCGCCCTCAGTTATACTCACTTGTCCCCCCACCTTTACCAAGGATTGGCTCCAAGTTCCCTCCAAACATATCCAAATCTGGAGAAGCTCAAGTCTCTTATACAAATTTTTTTGCATAGAACCTACACACATCCTCCCCTATGCTTTAAATCATATCTAGAATACAACTAATACCTAATATAAATGCTACACAAAAAGTTGTTATACTCTACTTTTAAGGGGATAATGACAAAAAAATCTATACATGTTCATTACAGATAATATTATTTTTCTGAATATTTTCCATCTAAGGTTGGTTGAATCTGCAGGTACAGAACTACCCATATGAAGGGCTGACTATATATAAATTCATCCCAAAAGTCACTACACATCTGCTATGTGCTTAACCTGGGGGATAAAGATTGTAAAACAGGGCGACAGCAACATGGAAAGTAGCAGATGTATCAAAGCTTGTGCCTAAATATGTCCAGAGACCAAGGAGGGATGGCCATCTGAGGTGGCTCTTGTCTGATTTTCTTCCAATTCCTAAACTAGTCCTCCTCCCTCCTCTTACTTCTTGATTGTTTGAGCCCAGACAGCTCCCTGAGTATGCTCCTACCCTCCTGCTCCTCTTTGGCTTTCTTTCTAATTTCCCTATCTCAGACTTAGCAATCATTCTCATGTGCAGACTACTCTTAAACCCAAGTCTCCCTCCACGACCCAGGCTCACATTTATAACTGTCTGCTGAGCAACCTCCTGGAATTTCTGGCCCAGATACTGGACTCAATGGGCCAACTTTGGAAGCTGCTCCAGTCTGACTTCTTATTTCCTAATTCTAGTTGGATACCCCCACCACCATCTTGAAACGGATAGACACGATCTCTGAGCCTGAAACTTCCAAGCCACTTTTGGCTTTCTTGATAAATCGTTACTTGCTGAGCCTGGGGCTTTGTCACCTAAAAATCTCTAGTGTCCATTTCTTCTCCATGCTCAGGCCCACTTCTTCGTTCAGACCCTTCTTATTCAGGACGTGAACTACTGTTTTTCTGCTGCACTGATGGACTAATCATCACATGAGAAGAGCCTGGCCATAGAGCACCACTGTCTATTGGATATGCCCACACTTAGCAATTCAATACCTTCCATGATCTCACCCCAGCGCTCACCATCTCATCTTGCTTTCCTCCTCCTCTAAAAGTATACTGAATCCAAGCATCAGCCAGCCCCACTCCTGCAAGTCCCCATCACCTCCAGCAAGGTGTTTACTCTTTTCCCTGGTTCTACTCTGCCCCCACCACAGTCAATTCCCCATGTCCAAGATTGCTTCACTCCTCTGCTTCAATCCCTCTGTTATGCTCCAAAAATCCAGGCTCTGTCAGGGTCCTGATTCCTCTGGATCAGGTCTGCTTTCTCAGAGTCTGCCTCTTTACCCCTTGATCACAGGGTCTCACTCTTGTTCCCTTATGCCTGCAGCTCTTTGACCCTCACATTCCTTTAAGCTGGTTTTTCTCAAATGCCTTCTCCTCCAAGAGACCTGTCACACTCCTGTTTGTGCTCCTCCTCAGCCATGCCCCCAACTAATCTCTTGATGACATGATTTTATTCTCTCTGGAATAATCATATCTGTGACTTCACATAGTCTGTATGTTGGATGGGGAGAGAGTTCCAGGTCACTGTAGAGAAGTCTGTTCCAGCAAAGTGTTGTAGATGATTGCCAATTACCATCTGTGTCTTGATGTGTCATCTAGGTCTCCCCAGCTACCATGCTGTCCTACAGAACACTCAGTGCGTGTCACAGTGCCTAGCATGTACAATGTCTTCAATAAAGACATGATGCATGAAAAAATAAAATTCCACCCTATGAGCTTTCTGATACATTAAAACTCAAATCTTTCC